TATACTCGCCGGGAGCGGTGGCTCAAGCCTGTAATCCCAGCACTTTGGGAGGCTGAGGCGGGTGGATCACGAAGTCAAGAGATTGAGACCATCCTGGTCAACATGGTGAAACCCCGTCTCTACTAAAAACACAAAAAATTAGCTGGGCATGGTGGCGCGTGCCTGTAATCCCAGCTACTCAGGAGGCTGAGGCAGGAGAATTGCCTGAACCCAGGAGGCGGAGGTTGCGGTGAGCCGAGATTGTACCATTGCACTCCAGACTGGGCAACAAGAGCGAAACTCTGTCTCAAAAAAAAAAAAATATATATATACTGAGAGAACTGAAAACGTATGTTCATAAAAACACTTGCATGCAAATGTTCAGAATATTATTATTTCTGGAGACAGGGTCTTGCTTTGCTGCTCAGGCTGAGTACAGTGGCACAATCATGGCTCACTGAAGCCTCTAACTCCTGGGTTCAGCTTCCTCAGTAGCTGAGACAACAGGGCACACAACCATGCCTGGCTAATTTAAAATAAATCTACTTTTGTAGTGACAGGATCTTGCTACGTTGTCCAGGCTGGTCTTGAACTCCTAGACTCAAAAGATCCTCCTACCTTGGCCTACCAAAGTGCTGGGATTACAGGTATGAGCCACCACACCAAACTTGTTATTATTCATTATACCCAAAAGGTTGAAACAACCCAAGTGTCCACCAACTGATGAACAGCTAAGTAAAATGTGGTATATCCATAAAACGGCATATTATTCAGCCATAAAAAAGGACTGACATATGCTATAACATGCATGAACGAAAGCATTGCTAAGAAAACAGGATACAAAAGGTATATGATTAGTATATACGATAGTATACGATTCCACTTATATGAAATGTCCAGAATAGGCAAATCCATAGAGATCAAAAGGAGATTAATAGTTGCCAGGAGTTAGGGGAGGCAGGACTGGGGAGTGACGCTGATGGGAAAGAGGTTTCTTTCTGAGGAGATGAAATGTTCTGGAAGCAGACAGTGGTGACGATTCAGCAACTCTGTATATACTTAAAACCACTGAATCTTACACTTTATTATTATTATTATTATTATTATTTTTCAGACAAAGTCTCACTTTGTTGCCCAGGTTAGAGTGCAGTGGTGTGATCTTGGCTCACTGCAGCCTCCACCTCCAGAGCTCAAGCAATACTCCTGCCTCAGCCTCCCAAGTAGCTGGGATTATAGGCGCCCACCACCACACCCAGGTAATTTTTATATTTTTAGTAGAGAGACAGTTTCACCATGTTGGCCAGGCTGGTCTAGAACTCCTGACCTTGTGATCCACCCTCCTCAGCCTCCCAAAGTGCTGGGATTACAGGAGTGAGCCACCTCGCCCAGCCTGTTATTTTAACTTAGTTACCAAGAGGACATCTCACATAAAATCTATATCCTGGCTGGCCACAGTAGCTTATGCCTGTAATCCTAGCACTTCAGGAGGCTGAGGCCAAAAGTTCAAGACCAGCCTGGCCAACATGGCTGTTGTAGCAAAACTCCAGCTTAAGAAGACAAAGAGACTGATGGAGACCAAAGAGAAGTTCATTTTGGGCCCAGGCCAGGAGGAGGCTCGCACCTAAAATGGCCACCGACCCCAACCAAGAAGGCAATTTAGCTTACATGCTGTTTGAGGCAGGAAATCAAGACAGGAAGCGGGTTTCAGACACAGTCAGTCAAGTTTTACAATCTTGGGCTTCATGGTCATTCGACTCTATAGCCTTGCAGCTGAGGTAGGGGGTCGAAAGTTCGGGGGAGGTCATCCAGGGAGATCAGAAGAACAGGAAATGCAGGAATGTGCAGGCCACAGACCTAAAGATGTGCTCTGGTGCTCTTATCTATATATAGAGAGGGTGATGCCCGTCTGCTAGCCTGTTCCTTTTCTGAATACAGCTTATAACTAAGCCTAGAATGCAAGATAAGCTTACAGCTTCACTAGGGGGAGGTTACTTAAATTCCTTAGTCTTCATACAACTCTTAAACGCCCTTTACTTTTAGTTAACTACTACTTGTGTTATGCTTATTGTTTAAACTATATTCTGTTCTATTTTATTTCATTTTATTTTCCTTCCACGCACACAGTCACTGGAGCACACCCGTAATAGTCAATGCTCTGAAGTCCTGGTCCCAGGACCTGTCCTGGGACCCTCAGCTCTTCTCTTACTCAGCAGTTTAGGATAAAGGTGATTGCATAAAACTCTCCTCAAGACAGTCTGGGAAGAACTGTTGGTCACCACAAACTCCAGGAAAAGGATGGAAGTTTACACACACACACACAAATCTCCCGTTTACATGTGAGAAGCGACTTGAACACACACGCAGGTGCACACACAAATCACAGCTACAGAGGAAGGCATGCAGCCCCCGTCTACCCTGAGCTCTGTGCTCCAGAGGCCTGCTGTCCTCTCAGACATTCAGAGCCCCAGGATATTAGTGAAACCCTGCAGAGCTCAACTTCCTTCATCAATCCTGGATCTAATTTAACCATAGAAATGCTTCCTGAGGCCTTGAGTGGTGGCTCAGACCTTTAATCTCAGCACTTTGGAAGGCTGGAGGCGGGTAGATCACCTGATATCAGGAGTTTGAGACCAGCCTGACCAGCATGATGAAATCCCGTCTCTACTAAAAACACAAAAATTAGCCGAGCATGGTGGTGGCCATCTGCAATCCCAGCTACTCGGCAGGCTGACGCAGGAGAATCATTAGAACCTGGGAGGTGGAAGTTGCAGGGAGCTAAAATTGCGCCACTGTACTCCAGCCTGGGCAACAGAGCGAAACGCTGTTTCAAAAAAAAAAAAAAAAAAAAAGAAATGCTTCCTGAATTGGCAGTTCATCTTTAGTCCTAAGGTCTGGCAGATTCTCTCTAGGAAACTAGCCCTTTTGCTCTTGACCTAGCTTTTTAAAAATAACTTCTTTTGCATGCTATTTCACTTAGTGTAGTGTTTTCAATGTTCATCCATCGTGTAGCAACTGTCAGAATTTCCTTCCTCTTTGTGGTAAAATATACATAAATTTTACCATCTTAACAATTTCTAAGTGCACAATTCAGTGGTAGTAAGTACACTCACACCGTGGTACATTCACTACTACCATCCATCTCCAGAACTCTTTTTTCCTGCAAAACTGAAGCTTTGTACCCCTTAAACAGTAACACCTCATTCTCTCCTTCCCCTAGCCCCTGGTAACCAGCATTCCATTTTCTGTCTCTATGAATTTGACTCCCCTGGGTAGCTCATATATGTGGAATCACACAGTATGTTCTTTTTATGTTATTTCACTTAGCATAATGTTTTCAACATTCATCCGTATTGTAGCATATGTCAGAATTTCCTTCCTCTTTTTTTAAAAAATAATACATCATGGACATTCAAAGAATTTCCTTCTTTTTTAAGGCCAAATAATATTCCACTGTATGTATATACCACAGTTTGTTTATCCATTCATGGATGGACACTTGGGTTGCTTCTGCCTCTTAGCTATCATGACTAATGCTGCTAAGAACCTGGGCACACAACTGTCTACTTGAGTCCCTGCCCTCAGTTCTCTAACGGACCCAGCCTCTCACTTGGCCCACACCAGTCAAGATCCCAGCTTCAGGCATGGAATTCTCTAGGTCAGCCCCTGGTCCCCTGGGCAGGAAAACAGAATCCCAGGCTGAGCTCTCAGGTGGTGTCCACGGGAGATGCTCTGGAGTTGGAGGAGCCAGAGCTGAGCTAAGCTGAAAGGGAAATCAAGAGCCCATTTCTGACCTCTCCTAATGGGGGCACACCAGAGACAACACGGCAAGAAGCAAAGGAGAGTGGGGTGTCCCCTCTGCCCCAGCGGAGGAGACACATACCATTGCACAGAGCAGAACAGCAGGACAAGGGAGGCCTCTGTTCCCCTAAAGGGCAGGCATGCCGCAGAGGCGGCCCCAGGGGCTCCAAAGGGCATCAGGGGCTGCAGGGGCAGAGGTTATAAAAAGGGAGAGGGTGCTGAGACTGGTGCTATTCAGAAGACCTCAGTTAGAGGGCTCATGGAGTGGGGGGTGGAGGAGTCTGGAATGCTCTAATTTGACAGACGGCCTCAGCTCAGCCAACTCCTGGAGCAGAAGAGGCACAAAAGCAGAAACTCAAAGGGCTGGGGGTTCATGGTGCACCCTGGGGCTATAGCCTTGGCCTTCCAGGCCTTGCGCTTTTGTGCTCTGGGATGAGCAGCCTACAGCTGGCAGGGAGGTGGGGTCTGGCCACCTGGGAGTCCCTCTCACTGTCTGCCTAAGCAACTTTCAACTGGATACATGATATTTTTTGGTGCCAAAGTGTCTAGGTTCAGGTACCAAATTATGACAGCCTAGGGAGGGTGCAGCCACTGGGGCGGGGGGAGCGGGACATTAATTCCTTCTGTGGAACTCTGAACATCCAAAAGTATTATAAAGAGGAATTAAATACACCTCCTAAATGCCACAATCAAGGTGCCAGCTTCAGGCTCTCATTCCCACCCAGACCAAACTCAGGGGCACTGCAGATGTCCTATCAGCCAAGGAAGGCTGTCACTGGGGGAGACAGCTTCAGACTCTTCCTTTTGGTGACTCCAACCCAAGGAGCACCGGGATTTGATGTGGATATTCCTGAAAGCCTCCCAAGCTAACCAGTGCTCTCAGGAAGGACTTGGGGGCAAGCTGTCTCCTCAGACCTAGAGACTGTCTCAGTCTGAACTCACTGTTCTGGACTGCTCTGGGCTCCCAAGAGCCTGTGAGGTCAGTCTGGCCATAGCCACAGGGACCAAGATCTGAAGCCAGTTCAAGATGCTGAGAAGCCCGTTGGTTCCACTTTTTGCTAATGCTGGAGCCTGAGCCATAGATGGCGTGATGCTTCCACATCCGGGTGAAGCAATGTCCCCACCAGCATCTCCCCTGCTGCTGGGCTCTAGGCACTGAGAGTCATGTATCAAAGGCTCGGGAGCTCAGCACACCAGTCTCCACCCTGCATTCCAGTACTAACCGGACTGAAGGAAGAGCTCATCCACACTGAGATCCCACAGAAGACCAAAGGCTCCCAAAGACGTTTCTGGAGGCCATGTCAGCAGCTAGGTGGAAAAAAATAGCTGGTTACCTGGGTCATTCCTATGAAGCAATGCTAGCAAACTTCTATTACTCCACATTAAATAAATCCCATTTTTAATTCTCGCCAAGTCTGTATGGTAGTGACTCATTGCTGCCAATTAAAAGATGGGGAAACCAAGCTCAGAGAAGTCAAACAACTTCCCCAGAGTCACACATCCTGTGAGCAGCAAAGCCAGCACTCAAGCCCAGACACCCAGGTCTGCGTCACTTGAAACCTATTCCGTCCACCTCCTGGTATGGGAGTCTTTGTCCCTTTGCCCCTCACTTCCCTGTGGTCACAGCCATGCCTCTCCAGGGAAGGACCCGGGATAAGCGAGAGAAAGCGTGCCCACACTGACCACAGGTGGCAGGACAATCACAGGGTGGGCCCTCTCTGAGATCCTCGAATCATTTCCAGGTCAGCACCTTCACTCACTGTCATCTGAGACCACCAGCTTGGAAGGTCCTTGGTACCGAGCACAGGTCCTCAAACAAGAGTAGGGTAGTAACCCTGTTCTGGAATCCTTACCTGAAGGCTCCTGGAGCCTAACAGTCAGAAGCTGGGGTTTGCAACATGCAGAGAGGCTGACAAGGGGATGAGCAATGGGACAGCAGCAGCTCACAGGTTCCATCTGGTCTGGGCACTTAGCAAGCAACCGTGGCCGCCACGCTGTGCAGGACATCCTTCCTTTTCAGTTCCCAGAAAAGCCTGCTGTGTGGGTGCTGTGGCCCCATCTCCTTTCAGGACTAAGCCTCTTGCTCCCCTAGGGGCTGGGCACTGTCGCTGTCGGGGCCCTGAGCCCAGGCCCTCTCTGAGCCTTGACCTTGGAGGGAGCACTTGGTCCGAGGTCACAGCCCTCACCAAGTGTCTGATAACTGGCTGAGGCTGGAGAGCTTGCCTCAACTGGGTCACGGAGCCTGGTGGGACTGCCTGGGGCCAACTGCTCTCCTTCCCTCACAGGCGTGATTCCAAAGCGCGCTCCCCAGTAAGCCTGCGCAGAAGCCCTCGGCTTGGCATCTAGAACTCTGCTTTTCTCCTCCTGTCATAACTTCTTATGATTATCATTATTACTTTTGTCTTTTTGTTTTTTTCCTTTTTGTGGAGAACAGAGCCTCACTATATCGCCCAGGCAGGTCTCAAACTCCTGGGCTCAAGCGATCCTCCTGCCTCGGCCTCCCTAAGAGCTGGGATTACAGATGTGAGCCACAGTGCCCCATCTCCTTTCATAACTTCTTACATTTTCATGCCTGAACGCTTGAGTCTCTCCCAAGAACATACATTCATTGAGGGTGTACGCCTCCTGCTGATGTCTACTCTCCTGGCAAGGCTGGCCAACATGAGGGCACAGTTCACCCAGTGCCCATGCATACCCTACTAAAGCCCCTGAGAGGCATGGGATCAAGTCCCTGAAAGGACTCAGGCTGTCCTTTCCAAGAATGTCATCAGAGAAGGGCTGAAGCAGTCTGCCCACCTCACCCACGCCCTGGCTCTCAGAAGGTACAGGCCTGGCCCCAGGAGCCCTGGGACCCCACTTCCCTAGCTGCCCTTGACTGCACAAGGGGACCACTTAACTCCTCTTAGCCTAACCAGATTCTCCTTCCTGAGGAACCAGATTTGGGAACAGAGTCTGGCCTTACTTGGCCATGGAGCCTGAGGGGAGACAGCAGCAGAGGCCAGTCCTAGGATCCTGACCCTTCCTCATCCCTAGGTCCCGCTCCTTCTGGAGCCCAGCACGCCTCTGTCCTGGGATCCCAGGAACCACCCTTGCACCTATAGAAGGCAGCCCCCATGAGTTTCTGCCCCCCACAACCACCAACCCCATTAATTGCTCGAGGTTCTAAATCCCGAGGATACTGCCAACAAGGCCCCCTAAAGCCAAGATCTGGGTTCACCCATGGGGGTTGGAGCTTTTGTTTCTCCGTCCTGCAGAGTGTGAGCTGGAACCTCTGCACTAACAGTGTGCCTTGCAAAGGATGCCCTGGACCAGAGCAGAACTCTGCGGGGGCACCACAAGGGCAAGACAGCTCACAGGATGTCCACTTCACCTCCATGTGGGCCCATCTCACCTGGCTCCAAGGCACAGAGCTGATGCTAAGAAACGCATCCGTGGTGATCCAGGAGCGTGGCAGGGCCAGAACTCATACCAAGTCTGTGTCTGTCTGACCTCAGGGCTGGGTCCCACACTCCTCTCTGCTCTAGCCCCCTCCCAGCATGATGGAGACGGGGAAACAGACAGGGCAGGGCTTGCCCGTGCCTTGATGGGGGTCTCTGAACCTGGAGGAGACCAACATGCCCCCAGGAAGGCACTCCACGCCGTGTCAGGGTCACACAGGGCCCCTCTGTGGGCGCTGTCTCAGACAGGCCCTTTGTGCCTTCCAATGCTCGATTGTGCGTTCCGTCATACACTGTGCAAGGAGCAGGGGCTGCACCAGCCAGTGTGGGGAATAATGGTCCCACTGTTCCCCATTAACCCCTGCTCCTTCTGGGCCTTTGGCGGGGCCCTGGGGGCTGGCAAGGTTAGCAGCTACACACCAGAGCCCCAGGAGCTGTGTGTCTTCTTCCATGGTGGAGAGGAACAAGGCAAAGGACCCAAAGTGTGAAGGGAGAGCTGGAGGGCTCTCTCTGGACTGCAGCCAGCTTGCCGAGCAGTTCCAGGAATAATCCACCCCTCATGATGGCTCTGATTTACAGCTGGGGTCCAGGCTTCAACTGGCAGGAATGGGACCAGCTGGAACTTGTGACCCGCCTGTCCCCAGACAGGGACGATTCTGGGTGGGAGCCAGGGCCAGGATGGCATCCTCATGCCTGCCATTCAGATCACAGTGGTTAGCTCCTGGGCGTCCCTGCTGGCTTCTTACTGCCTCCCTCTGTGCAAAGGTGTCAAGTCCCAGGTGGAATGTATGTTCCCCCATGGCAAAACGTTTTAGCAGCAATCAGGAGGGAAGAAACAGGGTAGCCGGAGCAGCTGCTCGAGGCTTTCCCAGCCAACCTACAACTGTACACGGGAAGCACATACACTTAAACACCCAAGCACCCTTGGCTCCAAATTCACAAGAGCCCCACACTTCAAGGGGCACTGCCAGGCTGCCATGGGCCCTGAGCGGCTCTCCTGCTGCTTATGGGATAAAGGACCTGTGACCACTGGTGAAGAAATTAATTTTAAAGCACTGGAAGCACTTGAGGGGCTTAGACAGATTGAGAGGTCAGACTGTAAGTCCACTGGGAACACTAGGTCTCTAAGGAAAGCCACGAGGGCACAGGCAGCACCCAGAGACACACACACCCCCTCAGCGGAAGCAGAGGCTCCCAGTGCTCACTGCTCTGGGAGACCACAGGCGAACCTCCCTGGCCTTGGCATCCTTAGCGCTATGGTGGGGATCAATGCCCAATCAGCTTTCCTCCCTCCTCCCAGTCTGAGCCCAGCCAAGTAGCATCTAAGGCAAAAAGAGGTGAAATGCCCACTCCTCGGCCTGTGGGCCTGCCAGGCCACCAGGCTGCAGCGCTCCCGCCACCTAGTGGCAGGCCTGTAGTCCTCACCTGAAACAGCCACTGGAGCAGGGGCACCGGGCAGTCGGGCATGTGCAGGTAGAGGGTGCTCAGGAGGCCACTCTGCAGGAAGGAGAGCTGCTGGGCCGGCGAGGAGCTGGGGGAAGAGGGCTCAGGTTAGGGGGGGCCTCTGTGCCAACACACCGGGAGGCTGTCACTACCCAGCTTCACTGGCTGTTCAGGAAGCGTATCAGTAATGCTACAGACAAATGTGCCTTTCCAGCCCTCAATACACGGATCTATGGAAAGGAAAAGAACCCAGGCTAGCATCAGAATCACCTCACAGTGTCACATGGTGGGTGGCCAGACATGGTGGCTCACACCTGTAATCTCAGCATTTTGGGAGGCCAAAGTGGGTGGGATCATGAGGTCAGGAGTTTGAGACCAGCCTGGCCAACATAATGAAGCTCTGTCTCTACTAAAAACACAAAAATTGGTGGGAGCAAGCAATCCCAGCTACTCGGGAGGCTGAGGCAGGAGAACTGCATGAACCTGGGAGGCAGAAGTTATAGTGAGCCGAGACTGCCACCGCACTCCAGCCTGGGCAACAGAGTGAGAATCGATCTCAAACACTCACAAACACTTAAACACACACACACAGACACACACACACACAGCAGGGCAGTGCAGTCTGCCCTTTCCATTAGACCACAGGGGGAAATTGGGGTATTTGCCAGGGGTGTGGAAAGGTGAGGAGTGAGCCCAGAACGGGCATCTTAGCATTCCTCCAGCTGCAACGGGTGGGTAGGATTACCCCTGCGGGACTAGTGTCTCAGGCTCTGGTTACACAGGGCATTTCTGCTCTGCCTTATGTTTTTCAGACACAAAGGGGACACCTGAGAAGACAGGAAAATAACAAAAAGCAGCCCGGGATGAAGACATTCTGGGAAGGAAATACCAAACGACAGTTCCTTGGATTCTTCAGAAACCACGTGATCTGTAAGTGTCCCAGATTCCGGAGATGGGGGCGTACTCAGACCAGCCACGTAGCTGTGGCAGTGACTGTGTACCCCTCTGGCCTCTCCCTCCTAACAGGAGCTCTCAAAATCAGCGCTGGTGTGGAGATGAGCCCTGTGCTGGGAATCACTGACCTGGTAGATCACCTTGAGCTACACAATTCTAAATCTCTGCAAAATGAGTTGTTGAAATATTTCATGTGGTTGTAGAGCCTCTGGTAGAAGGTGCTTCAGAAGTCATTTCAGAGGGGTTAGCTGGACTTTGTCACTATTTCTGAGCTCCTGGTCATCCCGAGAGGCTGCGTTTGGGGTAGGATTCTCCTATGTCCTGTGCATTTTGTGACCACCCTCTTTGCTTGCTCTCTCTAGACTACATCCCAAAGATAATTATCATGGATTCCAGGGAAACGTTAAGTTCACATCTTTTTAGTTTGTTTTTGAGACGGAGTCTTGCCCTGTCGCCCAGGCTTCAGTGCAGTCTCGCAATCTCGGCTCACTGCAACCTCTGCCTCCCAGGTTCAAGTGATTCTCCTGCATCAGCCTCCTGAGTAGCTGGGATTATAGGCATGTGCCACTGTGCCCGGCTAATTTTTATACTTTTAGTAGAGACAGGGTTTCGCCATGTTAGTCAGGCTGGTCTCAAACTCTTGACCTCGTGATCCACCCACCTCGGCCTCCCAAAGTGCTGGGATTATAGGCATAAGCCACTGTGCCCAAATGCACGCTAAGAATGTTTCAGATAGTACTTAACATTGCCACCCTAAAAAGTTTTTTAGTCAGCCCAACCTCCTCCTCCTGCTCCTCCTTATTCTCTTTTAAAAAGGACACCAGACTTTAATCTGCCAGGAACAGAATGCTACAAAACAAAGATTATCCTCTGAGCCAAGCTGCTGTCTCTCTGAGTATGTCCAGGCAATTTACAAATTAGATGTTTTTTCTCTAAGTCATTTAAGTTCAGAGGAGAAAGCAGCTTTGTTCCTGTGGTGGTGAAGTTTACTGCCCTGAAATAGACCTGCATTTGTACAAACACGTGTGCACCCCGGGACTACTGGCATGCTCTTCTCTATCCACGTGCCTGGTCACATGGAGACTTTCATGGACTGACCCCAACGAGATACATGGTTCAAGACATGCACAGCAGCCTGAATGCAGACAACACCCATGCAAACAATGACAGGAGGACCTTGCAAATTGGTAAAACCCCAAGAGGCCATGTGGTGAGGAGGTTGGCGCTTCAGGGACTCTGAGGAGATTCTGGCTCTGGCATTCTGCTGCAGGGGGCACCCCGCCAGGTTCCTTAGTGGGAGAACTGACTGTATAAGGCCCTGTTGGCTCAGATCAACACATTTCTAACTGCTGCTCCAAGGGAGAGACCCCACAGTTGCAATGTCTCCCTTCTGCTATGTGGGCCTTGCAGTTTCTGCCAGAGAAATGATTGATTGGCCTCTGAGTTCATTGCTGCTGAGAAAATTTTGTCTATGGGACCAGAAGCAAGAGAAAGACAGAAAGGACACAGTCCTGCTCTGCCCTGGGGTGAATCGCGTTCAAGGAACTCTGTGTTTAGGGTTAGAGGCAAGGAATCCCCTCTGAAGGGTACATGCTCAGTGGGAAGGGGGTCTCCTTGACTCAGCCACAAGCCCTTCTATGCCCTTCAGGATGGCACAGGGTAGGGGGGGCAGGGAATGGGCCTCGGGTACAGACAATGCCCTATCTCTGGTGAAGGAAGGAGGGTCCCAACTGCAGCACCTGGGCTGGGAAGCCTGCAGGAAAAGGGAAAAGGGAAAAGGGTGGGAGGCATGTGCGGTAAAAAAGCTCAAACGCCTTGGGTGACAGAATCAGCTGTTGTCAGAGTCACATCCCCACATCAAGAACACGGATGCTGGGTCCAAGGGGGTGCCTCTGTCCTATGGCCAAGCCAATGCTGAGGTCAGAAGTTATCCTGAGCATGTTGGAGGACCCTGGAAGGAGAGACGGAGGGACAGTCTCCGTCGACAGATGCCACACAGGCCTGGCTGAGTGGGAAGCCCCAGCTGTCAGTCCTGAGGACCTCACAAAGGGAGGTTCCCATCGGAGTCCTCAGCTGTGACTGGAGATGAGGAGGGAGCAGCCACAGTCAGAACACTGCTAATCCCCAGCCACGACAGCAATGACAGCCTCCACCCTCGCCACCCACTGGAGCAGAAGGAAGCGAGGGGAGGATGTCAGCTACAACGGGGAAACCCACAGAACCAGTGACACCAAATGGGGGCAGCTGGGCTCAGCACACGGGGCTTCCCGAGCAGAGCTCCTACTGGCTTCATCTTGGAATTTCTGTTCCTCGTGATGCCCAAGGGAAGATTCTTCCCGCCTCAACCTCATTTATTTTAAGGGCAGCAGTCCCAGAAGACAAAGTCTCTGAATGCCTTGAGAATCCCAAGTGATGGCTGAAGGATAAACACCAAGTGCAGTTATTTATAAGTATCAGTTCCTGGGCCTTCGCCAAGTTACTCAAATCAGTCTGAATAAAATGCCTAAATACAACAGAAACCAACAGCAACCAGAAGCTTTCACCTAGGGTCCTTTTCTTTTTCTTTCCTTTGTTTATATGGAAGAGAGGCCAGGTGCAGTGGCTCATGTCTATAATCTCAGAACTTTGGAAGGCCCAGGCAGGAGGATAGCTTGAGGCCAGGAATTTAAGACCAGCCTAGGCAACATAGTGAGACCCTGTTTCTGAAAAAAAAAAAAAAAAAAAAAAAAAAAAAAAAATCATGAAAATTAGCTGAGCATGGTAGTGCACACCTGTGGTCCCAACTACTTGGAGGTTGAGGCAAGAGGACCTCTTGAGCCGGGAGTTGGAGGCTGCAGTGAGCCGTGATCATGTTACTACACTCCAGCATGGGGCAGCAGAGCATAAGCCTGTCTAAAAACAAGAAAAAAATGAAATAAAAATAAGTGAGCGTTACCACAGGCAGAAACTCAGGGATTCCACGACAGCCCTGCTTGCTGCCTCTGCTTGCTCTTTATTTTGGGGGGCAGATGCAGCCAGCTGGATGGCTCAGCCTTCTCCACACTCCATAACTGCTGGATTTATTGCACCTGGGCTTCAACCCTGGCCTCTTCCTCCAGGAAGAGAAGCTCATGGCAAAACAAGAGTTGGGGCTGCCGGGCCTTGGGGAGCAGCTCAGCCTCATCTGCCTCCTTCTTTCCCCTGCCTGCTGGATATCCATGGAGGAACACCCTGGCCCATGCATTGGGCTTCTGGAAAGCACACTTACACCAAAGGCAGATGAACCCAGAGGGCAAACGCAGACCCCGACGTCCTTGCAAACAAGGTGGAGAGGCCTATGACTAATTGAGCAGGGCAGGCAAACTCCACCCTTTCAACTTCCGCCGGAGTGGGATGCGGGCTTTGGTCCTGATGCTTTTCCATGAAGGAGCATCGGATTTCCTTTTCAATTACTGTCAAGGGAGAAGGAAAAAGTTCCATTTCTGTAATCAGCTGGTACCAGCTTCCAGTATAATGCCATGTGACTCTGGTGGCCAGGGACTGACCCTGGAATGCACAACTAGCCTGCGATGGATGAGGGGGTCATCTGGACCAGGTGCATTTCCAAGGCAGGCTACCCAGGAAGGGGATTCTTGCACATAAACCTGAATATATCCAACAGGGCAGCTGCTGGGGTGCAGACGCCAAGCCCACTCATGCTCGTTCTGCAATCTAAAACAAACTGTTCAATTTGCGCCATTGCCTACTTCGTTTAGAGGGAAGAAAGATATTTTCCCCCTTTCACAGAAGGGCAAGGAGTAAATCTATTTCAAGAGCTGATTTTTTTAAAAATGGCATTTACTTTCCCCCTCCTAACGATAAAAATGATATATGTTCATTGTATAAAGTTAGGAATATACAGCAGTTATAATGAGGAAAATGAAAAACTGGCTGTCAGCTCACACAGGGTGAACTTTCTTCCATCCGAGTACTAACCAGGCCAGACCCTGCTCAGCCTCTGAGATGAGAGAACACTAGGCACATTCAGGGCACAGCCACAGACCACAGCGGTAACTTTGTGTATGAAATTGGACTGAAGACTTTTTGTTACTAGTTTTTGAGACAGGGTCTCACTCTGTCACCCAGGCTGGAGTGTGGTGGCACGATCACGGCTCACTGCAGCCTT